GGGCAATCGCACATTTCTCACTTTATCTCAACTAATGGAAATCTGTGCGGGGGTGGGCCGGCGGCAACCCTTCCCGACGGACAGACAGACAGACAGACAACCAGGCGGGCAGGCGGCTCTGCTTGTGCTGGCTGTACCTTCAGCGTGCTTGGCCGCGTCTGAATGCGCCAAGCAGGAGTTCGCTGCTGTTGTAAATCGGATACTGTGCGCGTTTTTTGGCCTTTGCAGAAGAGCGGATCCGCCTCCTTGATCGGCGCTAATCTTAATTTTATATCTCCAATCTGCGTCCGTGCCGAAAGGGACAAGGTAGGTGTCGCGGCGGGCCTTTGTGACACCGTATAAGGCGCTCCAAGGGGAGGCCCAAGGGGATGATGATGTGTCGGCCAAAGACGCCGGCTGCAGTGCTGCACAGTGGCGCACCCGCCTCGGTTCACTTTTTTGACGGTGGATGGATGCATCTTGGTGATACAAAACAACTGGGAAGAATCGATCTTACATAACCTTTGCCTCTGCAAAGAGGAAAATCCATAGCAATACAACGGTCGTTAGCATAACACCGCGGAATTTCATTTCAGAAAAACGCACCCCACCCCCGCAGCACAGCATCGACCCGCCCTCTATCATGTCCATTTCTCCTCGCTGCTTCATCCCGGCCAGTCCATAACAACCGCATGTTGCGTGCCCTCCGGTGCCCTCCCCTCCGTGTTGTACTCGAACGCCGTTTTATTAAAATTCAGATCTTTATTGAGAGATAATGGCAGCGACAATGGAATAAAGGCCGGTGTGGCGCCACGGCGCGAGGGTGGGGAGGGAGGTGGACAGGGGAGGAGCACGCGGGGGAGGCCGCGACATATGTCCGCAACCCTTTCCCAGCGAGCCAAGAAATCTGCCGGCGTCTCGTTTTTCATTTGGTGCACGACAATCGCCAGCAATAAGGCCACGCCGGGTCACGTCCCCGGTGTCCAGTTTCTATACTCGTTACTTTACTCGTTACTTTACCGTTACTTTACTCGTTACTTTACTCGTTACTTTACTCGATACTTTACTCGATACTTTACTCGTTACTTTACTCGTTACTTTACTCGTTACTTTACTCGTTACTTTACTCGTTACTTTACTTGTTACTTTACTCATTACTGTACTCGATATGTACTCATTTACAAATTTTTTTGGGCGAATGTCGCATGGCGTTCGTCAGGCGCGTCACGCGCAGGACTCACTGCTAAATGGATGACGCCAACAACAAGAGCAGCATGTGCTGCAGCAGCAACAGCAGCAGCAGGTGCGTGGGTGAAACAAGTGCACCACATCGGCACCCCTTGCAGCATCATAATTCACTGGCGCTGCTTAGCATGCACAGCCCATTGCGACAAGCCGAGCCCCTGCAGCCCTTCCAGTCTTTTCCGGCGATTCAAATTAATCGCCTTATGTGACGGAGTTAAATTTGCTTATCGCCAATCACGGCTCGGCTTTTCTTACTCTGTCTTTCGCGCTGCCCCGCAGCAGGGATATTACACTTACCCCTTGCAGCCGCGCGCGCCCGCTTGCCTCCGGGGGAGAGTGTGGCTGGCTGGACTTATCTGATGGTTACGTGTCTGTGCGCGAGTGTTAGTAGAGGTGTCACTGTCACCCCGATTCCATGCGAGCGTGACTTGTTTCTTTGCATTACTGGAATCAAGTTTTTTCTCCAATCGTCCCCCTCGTCGAACTCCCCGCTGTTGAGGCGTCCATATGTTTGCCGAGAGTGTCCTCGCCGTTGTGCGCCGCCAAATGATGGCAAAACGTTGCAAAAATATTCGCCCCCGTTACAAGGCGGGCACAGAGCACCATTGTGTGTTGCGAGAGTGATCGGTGACGACGAGCCCGCGAGGCAGAGCGAGGCGCACCCCCTCCTCCTTCGTGCCGCGAGCACCCTGTTCACCCTGGTCACCTCCAACCCCGCCGAGCTGCAGCCCCGACCCGCGGCGACCCCTCCTCCCTCCCTCCTAGGCTGCAGCCGTGACAACCCTGGCCGGGGAAGACCGGGGAAGGGCGACCCTTTTAAAAAGCGATTTATGGACGCTGTCGTCACCCTCTGGCCCTGCCACGGCCCGCCAAAGAACGCCACGGCCCTCTGGTACTGTATCGGCTGCTAAGTCGCCCTTGTTTCAACCCGACACCACTCCAGCGGGGGTGCGGCGCTCCGTGTGGCGCGCCTTGAGGTGTAGGCAACCCCTTCGGCATCTGCTCGTCTTCGCCGGCGGGGCTTCCACGAGGCCCCGCGCGGGACTTCGGCGACGTCGTCCTCCCTCCGTCCTTCCCGTGGAGTGGATAATGCGAACTCGCCGTCGTCGCGCACGCGAGGGGACGTCTTGGAGTACGTCCCGATGAGTATACACAAATACTTACAGACACCCCCCGCCCGCCTCCCCCCTCCCCCTAGTGTCGCTCCTGACTCTTCTAGCCCCCTCATCCCCCCCGTCGGCGCCGTGGGGGGCAATTTTCTGGCCCGTTGCCTCACGACAATGGGAGTAGAAAGACCCCAGGCGACGCGGAGAAGGGGGAGGGGGAAGGGGGCATCCCGCGAGGTGTCCGGAAAGGAAGTTATTTTTCTCGGGTTGCCAAACCGAGCGGCCTCCGCGTCGGCCAGACGAGCTGGCTGGGCGAGCTCGCCAAGGGCCTTCCTCAGCGGAGTTCAAGACTCCGGGGGAGGGTTGGCTCTATTTGCACTCATTCGCTCTCCGTTCCGTCGTCCCTTCCTCTTGAGCAGGGCTTGCCACTGGCTTGCCGGCTTGCCCCGAGGCGCCCAGCGCGCGGCCACTGCGGCACTCGCCGCAGCCAAAAACAAAAACATTTTGACAAACAAAAATTTTTCGTTGCAGCGACCGGTACAAAAACTATGGAACTGTGTCAACGTCAACTCAATCCACGCCGTTCCGCGCAGTGCGCTGGAATGCTTGCCGATTTGGAGGTTATGGGCGCCCGTCTGCAACTGTCGCGTCGCCCGGCTCGCGGCGCTCGGGCGTTGAGGTCTCCGAGGCGGAAGTGGGTCTGGCGGGACGCTCGCGGCGCTGACTTCCGTGTCGAACTCTGATTGACGTGTGTTTCGCGGATTTCGGCAGCGAGTTTCCTTTGACGGATCGCCCTTTTTGCTCCCGTTTCTTTTTTTTCGCGATCGCTGCGCGAGCTGCGCTGCGCGTTGACGGCTGCCATAATGGGGCAGGTCAAGCGGGGGCACGAGGGGGGATCGGATTAGCCAGAAGTGGGTACGTTTTTGTATTGATTCTTTTTTTCCGAGGGGTCGGTCGGTCTTTTGACCACTTCACTGACCGGATATGGATATGTACATGAGCTGACCTCGAAAAATCAAGACGAACTTCGCTCGGTTTGGAGCGCGCAGAGGTCGAAAATGGACAGCTGGCCGTCAGGGGAACAATACCTTGCTGACCTGTATACAAGCGCGCGCACACACACACACGCTCTCACACACATGAGAGCGTGCGTGCCGACATGCCCTTTTGCATGCTCCTCGCTCCACTCGGCCACAAAAGACGGCAACGCATTTTCTTGCCAATTTCGCGTCTTTTAAGCAAATTATTCATCCCCGCGCGTTTTCTTGGCTCCTTTCTTCCATTTTTCAGAGCGATGTTGCCCGAGGCGCGGTACGCCAGTGTAGCGTATGAGCGCCGCCGGCGATGGCAGCGCGCACCGTGCGGGGAGTGGATTATATAATTCTTTTGACTGGCGTGGCTGCTGAGGCACTGCCGAGGCCTCTCACCATTCAAACGATTCAAACCGGCAGAGGCCTGCTTGGCCAGCACGCTGCTCGGCAGTTGGTTCGAAAGTTATTGGCGGAGGTGAAGAGCGCACGAGCGCCGCCGCGTTTAGGATTGCTGCCGCTAGGGGTCGCGGTGCGGTCTTCAAATCCGTGACATGGAGGACTCTCCACTTTCTTCACTCCGACGCCACTCATTTACGTTCGGCCGTGAACCCCTTGATCTCTGTGTTGCCCCTGCGCGCATGCCTCTCCCTCCCCCTCCCTCGTCCAGCGCGCAAAACATACGGGGCTGGCACGCGCCCAAACGTGAGAGAGCGGGAAAGGATTTGAGCGCTGCTGGGAATGCGGGGTCGGACCTTCCTCCCTCTCTCTCTCCGTTCCTCTCGTTGTCGCGGCGACGTCTGCCAGTCTTTCCTGTCTCTGTCTATGCAGATGGGCGCTTGAAGTGTCCGCGAGGAGCGTGCCTCGGTGCGCGTGTCTGCATTTGCCGCACACACTGGGACCGCGCATTTTTCTCGGTTGTTTCGGGGGAAAAATCGAGTTTTTCTCCAATTATTGTCCCGTTTTGTACCCCACCTTCACCTCGAAAGTTTCTTTTAGATGAGATACTTTTGCATACGGTGGTGTGTACTACCTACGGTCGTAAAATCATGAAGTAATGTAAATTTTTAGAAACAATCTTTGTTTTTTTTGCAGGGTTTTGAGTTGTAGTTGGAAAAATGTTTGCAATGCACACGTGATGATTCAGACGCGGTCCTTGCAAACGCCGTGCCGTGCCGCGCCGCCCCGTGCCGCACACGCGCGTGCCAAGGGCCCTTGAGCGCGTCCATTCAAATGAGGCGGTGCCTTGTTGTGCTTCTCGTGGGGAAATGATTCGGAAACGAAAGCCTTTCACGTCGCTGTTGTTTTTGTTGTCCTGTTTTCTCTGCTTGGACCAACAGCGCGCACTAGTAGTATGTGCGTGCGTACTTCGTACTCAATCATTTTTCGTGAAGCGAAACCCACGGTGCGGATGCATGTGTGGTTGCACTGCTGAGTCCCGGCGCTTCTGTGTTTAAAATTTCCAATTTTTACCAATTTTGTGATTGGAAGGCGAGCGTCCTCACCCTCACTAATTGGCCGTGCGTCTTCGCTAACGACATCCGCCAGAGGCCGCCCTCCCCTCCCCCTCCCCTCCCCAGCGAGGCCGCGAGAAAGGACGGCTGACGGAAAGCAAGGGGTCGTGGAATCAAAAACCATCGTGTAAAATGAACATAAATATATTTGCAATACTTTACAGGAATACCTATAGAAAAGAAAACAAACAAAACCGTGCTTCTCGCTCCCCTTAGCGTCTGCACCAACTTACATAATTAATTACTATTCACATTTCATAATTCATGGACGGCTAGTTGAGTCATAAATTGATGAAATGTGAGAGGAAGTAGTACGATGAGACGGGCGCGTTCGGCGTTCCCGATTCGATGTAACAGAAACACGTCAACTTTAACACAACAGACATCAAGAAAGAAAAGAACACGGAAAACATCCTCGATAGCGACAAAAACTTAACAAACATACATAAGTAAAATTCTATACTTAAAAAAAAAAACTTCTAAGAGGGAAAAGTTTAACCTGAGTTGAAGTGCGCTAAACTCGAGTACACATCACATAATTTGTTCGGGTTATGCAGATTGCAGCGACAAGTTTGCAACCGAGTTTGTACAAAAAGGGTATAAATAGTTACTATTTAAGATAAGTATGCATCTGCGCTAGCAGCCTGTACAATGTAACACGGAGGACTACACTGAAAAAATATCTGCTTGCAGCTAAAAGAATTAACCCTGAACATTTTAACATGTAACGGGATCAGTTATAATTGTACACACAAATAATACATAACAACAAGATGTAGGGCGTGCACTGGTACAATTTCTCTCTATAAATTTGAATCGCGCTCGAAGAAAACATCTAAAGCTTTGATTCTCTCACACACATAACTACAGGGCTCTAGTGAAATGTTGCATGATAAAATGGACAGAGTCTCCTACGGGGGGTTTGGTTGGTTTTGGTTGGGGAGATGTACGTGTGACACCGATTTAGGCCAGGTACAACTTTTTGACCTCATCAATAAAAGTATAATGAATTGACACGGTAACTCAATATGCTTATAAATATTCACAGCATGCTTATTTTATCCTCGAAGAACTTCACTAAGCAACAGTGAGGTGGATCGATGGATCGATCCTCCGGGATGGCCACTCGCGACACGGCGAAGGTCCTTCGTGTCGCCACTGAGTCACTGGCAGTGGAGTGGCGCGTCCCGGGCAGTGCGAGATGGCTTGGCCAGGGGGTAGCCAGGGCCTGGCCAGGGCGTAGCGTGGGGCTCACATGTAGGGGGGCTGCCCCTCCAGGGACGGGCCCAGGTGTCCCGGCGGTGCTGCGCCCCCCCAGGGGTGCTACGCGCGGTACTGCATGGGCAGGTGGGGGTGCGGCCCGGGGGGCACACTGCCGGGGGGCGCGTGTCCCAGGGCGTGCCGCTGCGCCGCGTGGCCGCCGTGGCCGCCGTGGCGCGCGTCCAGCTCCGTGTCCAGCCGCTCCTGCTGCTGGCGGTAGGCGCGCTGCTTCTCGTCGAAGTCCCGCAGTCTCTGGTTGTAGCGCTCGATCTGGTCGCGGAGCATGGCGTCCTCGATCTGCAACAAGCACGGGGTTGGTGAGTCCCTGACTGCGTCGGCTGACTGGCGGCGCCACTGTAAGTGCGACACTCACCGCGGCGGCCTTCTCGTCGAACTCCAGGCAGCCGATGCCCTCCAGGCGCTCCAGGTCGATCCAGCCCCGCCACCGCACGCACACGCCGTTCATGATGAAGTGCGACCTCAGGTGGACCTGCAACACAACAGGGCAAACTTAGAAAGGTCGACACGGCAGGTTGGCTTCGACGCGAGCCCTCGAACGCGCCACATGGCTCCGATCACCGCCCCCTACAAATTGGCAGCGAGCGAACCTGGCGTAATTACAGCACCGCCCCCTACAAAGCAAAGCGGCGATCGGCATATCGGCCGGGACTCGCCGCTACGCCACTGCCCTGTGCTGCCGTCGCCTGACAGCCAGGCCCCGTTCAACTAGCGCGATAATGGCTGGCACGACAAAAGTCAGTCGTATAATTGTGTGTGTAAACAGGGGATGGTCCGCGCGGCCGGGATCTGGATTCCGTTTATCCGGACAAACGCCGTGCTTGGTCCCCTGTCAAGCACCGCCCCCCCTCCCGCAGACCCTATTCAGTTAGCGAGGGGGATGCAAGTGATTTTTCCGAAAAGGCAACACAAAAGTGGACGCGGCATTGTCGACGACGACGGCGATGACACTACGCACCTAACTGGAAAGGGAGAGGGAGGGAGGGAGGGGGCGGGGGGCCAAAACAAGACATAAAAATAAAATCATTTCATTCGTGTTGCATCCCCGCCTCCCCGCCCCGCTCCGCTCCGTCGCCACCCCTCCGGCGGCGGCGCGAGCAGCGCGTCGGTGCGCTTTCAATAAGGCTTCTCATTTACATCGGTCAGAAAAAGGTCAGAAATTTACGACTCGCCGACTTGCGCGGACCGAGTGTAGGACGGAGGGGGCAAGGAACTAAGGAACGGAGCCAAAGTGGTTCTATTTGCTTTATTACTCTCCGGAGAGGAATGCGCGTCACGGTGCAGCAAGGGCGGCGGGGCGGCGGGGCCCCAGATGGCCGGCCAAGCACACGGCCCGAGTAATGGAGTCCGCGGACAAACGAGGACTACAAAAAAACAAATACAACGGACGACAAAAAGGGCAAAGAGGTGCCCAAATAAATATTTGGCGATGAATCAGAAACCAGGCGATGCGCATCCTAGGCATCAGCACCAGCGGATGGAGGGAAAGGGGGGGGGGGTGTTGATTGTGTACACAGAGGGATTATAAATTATAAGAAGTCGGCCTTTGTCGCTAGGCAGGTAGGCAACACAGGCACTTCACCCCGGGGCGACCAGGGCGCGGGTGGGGCCGGCCGGCTGGCGACACAAACCAGGGCGGGGCGGCAGGGGTCCGGCCCGGTATGTCTTTATTGCTCGGAATAGGTTCGCAGGACCTCTTCGCAGGGGGTTGAGGGAAAATAAGGGGGGGGGTGTCTGCCTGACGATATGACAGTAATCCGCTAGCGATCCGGCATATCGCGTTCTCCTCTTCGAAAACACGAGAGCAAAAAGTGGTGCTGCGCGCTGCGCCTCGCCCCGCCCCCTCAGTTTGGCGGAAGTGCCGCGACGCCCCGGAGGCAGGCGGGCAGGCAGCCCCCTTCCGGTCTGTGCTGCACGCCGGGCAGTGGCGGGCTGACGGGCACACTGGCAGGCACGGCCACGGCACGGCCACGGCATGGCCCCCAGGTCCGGTCATCTGGCTAGACTGGCATCTGGCACCAGCCATAAATAACAGATGCAGGCCGGGGCGTGGCGGGGCGTGGCGGGTCAGTAGTCGCCGAACGTGCCCGACGACGACACGGCAACAGTTCCGCGAACCCGGCCGGCCCGGCGGCGGCAGGTTTCCGGGGACGCTGACACGCTGACGGCGGCGCGGCGTCCGACACAAAGTGCAGCAGACGCACAGATCCCCGGCCGGGCGAAGCAAGGCACCGCGATGATGTCGCAAGAAGGGGCGAAAAAACAAAAAAACGATAGAAAGGACGCCGTAAGCCGCGCCGCGCTGCCCCTAACCGCCGGACGACGGCGCGACTCCGCGCTAAAACAAAGCGTCATACATTTCTAATCCCCGCGTCGCCATTGTGTCACAGTGTGTCGGGCCGGCAGGGTCCGAGGCACCCGAGGTGATAAATGTGTGACTTGTAACTGTATTTGTTTTTAACGTGTCGGGCCGCGGGGCTGCAACCCGTCCGGTCGGTCGGCCGGCCACCCGTCCCCTGCCACGGCGTGCCACGGACTGCCACGGTGACTCGGGCAAACGCTAAACGGCTCTAATTAATAGCCCATGGCCATTCGCAGAGGTGGGCGTGGACATGCCCGCTTTGTCCAAAGTGAGTGAGTGTGCGTGTGTGTGTGTGTATGTGTGTGTGTGTTATGTAATAGGGGGCGGGTCAGCAGCGCGATACCCACCCCATCCCTCCCTCGCCTGTCTCCCTTGCACGGTCATTGCGCGCGCACACTCACACTCTCTCTCTCTCCCACACACACACACACACACACACGCCCCCTTGCGAGTCTGGAATTAAATCCGAAACTCCATTTAGAATGCAATCAGAGGGTCTTTACCGTATGCGGCAGATGACCACTGCTACCGCTTCTGCTTACGCTTTCCATCCCGTTCAACAAGGCAGCTAGTTCACACAACACTCCCGGCCATAATAAGGGAAAACATTACGTTTCCCATCGACGGGCACTGGCAGACGGGCAGGCTGACAGACAGACAGACTGGCCGAGAGAGGCAAAGCCCTTTATACATCCACCTGTGAAATGACTTCCAATTGGTGCCTTACAGCGTGCGCTCGGAAATTGGAAACCGAGTCCTACACCGTTTTCGACACAAGTCCGGTGCAGCCGCTGGCCGGTGGAACGGGGTGGGGGGTGAGTACACTCGCAAATACGTGTCAAGCGAAACGGAGAGCGCCAGGCTCCTTGAATTCCGCGCTCCAAATCGAGCTGGAAGGGCCGCGCCCGCCGCGCCGAGGAGTACTCCAGGGATAAAACCACAAAGCCATTCGCCGCGGGGGTGAAGGTACCCGAAGGTTCCCGAAGGTACCCGTGCGGTACGGTGCGGTCAGGGAGTCGGAGTCGGCCGAGGCGGCGGTGGTGGCGGCGAGATGCGGGCGAGGCGCGGCCAAGCCGCAGAAAGGCATCACGCAGCTACGCTATTAATTTTCGCTCGGATTTGCCGCGCTTTCGCGACCACGACGACGACACCGCGGTGGCGGCCTCGACGGCCAGCCTCCTCGCGCGCCCTTCCAGTTGGACTTGCAGAGTCACCTGGAGCCGGAGGAGGCGGCCAGGGGAATCTCTGCGGTGGGCCCTCGGTGCGGGTGCCCGGATGGCCCGGATGGCGACGACGACTGTGAATAACGACGCAAAAGGAGGAGCGGACGCCTATTCGCAGGATGCGCAGCGCCGTAACGCACGGCGGCCCAAAAGGACGGCGACGACGCGGTAAGTGGTTCTGTTCTCACAGTGTACTGTACACCGGGCTCGCTGGCTGCCTGGCTGCGCCTCGCCCCGACGTGATTCCATCTCGCAGGTAGCGGCTCGCCAATGATTGCTTCAAAACCCACCTGTAATCTTCTCGTACCCATTACGCCCCCCTCAATTCCCCCTTGTTTTATATCAAAACCCACTGTGCGTTCGCAGCGGCAGCGCCAACGCCGTCGACGTACACTGAGACTCCCTCAGTTTACTTGAATGACCGACCGGACGTCGCCAAATTTTCAGAAAAAGAAAACAACAAAAATCCTATTTTTTACGGGTTTGGATTTTGAAAATGTGATACAAGGAGGGAGCCCGGCGTGGGCAGTTGGCGTCAGCCTGCGGGATGCAGGCCAAGCTCAGCCTCATCACGGCCAAACTAGATTTCCATTTCGGGACAGCGGCCGTCCGTGCGCGCGGGCCGCCGAGCCGCGGCAGCCTGCTTTACTGAATGGCTCGGGGGCGGGGCTGGCGGGGCTGGCGGGGCCGCCGGCGCGATGGCTCCTAAAAAGGTGTTCATACGCCGAGGCGCGGGGCACGGCGGGCGCGGCGAGGTCCACGATATCGACAAAACAGGATGTCGACGCCAAGCATGTAATTTGTTAGTAGCTGCGGTTAGGCCCCGCTCGGCCGGCGCGCCCCCGTGCAGGCCGCGCAGGCCGTGCAGGCCGTGCAGCAGCAAGCACTCCGGGGCCTCGTTACGCGCGAACATACAGGGGGCTCGGCTGCTCGGCGCGGGGCCCCGGGGGTCCGGGCAGGCAGCGCTCGAGCGACAGCGCGCTCGCAGTGCTCTCGCACAGCGGAAATGTGTTGCGGTTTCCCTCCGCGTCGTTCGCGTCTCGGCGGGGCATAACGGGGAGGTGCGGGGCGAAATGGTCCTATGCAATATGCCATTGAGCGACTTGCAGGCAGACAGACGGACAGGCAGTCAGACAGACGGACGCCAAGCGTTTTACTCCGCGACTTGTGGAAATTAGGTGCATCCCGACGGGGTTGACAGCCACCCAGGTGGCGGCCGCGCACGCCGCGCGCCCCCATCGGGTGACCTCCAGGGCGGCCTCCAGGACCCCCAGGACGCCGACGTCGCGGACGCACAACAAACCGCCCCGCGGGGCGAGGCGCGGCGCGGCGGGGGGCCCCGACACCCTCCCGCCAACCCTTTAGGGTGTACGCGCCTCGCAACAGCTGCCCGCGCCGCGGCGAGGCGGAGAGGCGGGGCGCCCCGCAGCGGCGCGAAGTACTACCCGCGCGGCACGCGAGCACCTCGTCGAGGACCTCGCCGAGCACATCACCGAGCACACCATCGAGGACATCGCCGAGGACATCACCGAGGACACCACCGGACGTCGACGGCGAGCCACCGCCACTCCCTGGATTCACCGCGCGTCCAGATGGCTCGCCCATTTAGCGCCAGAGAGGGACAGCCAACTCCGTCTCTCTCGCGGTAACTCTTTCGCTTCGGTAACGAGGTGTGCCCGAGCGTCGCCCCTCCCGCTTCCAATCTTCCGTTTGTTACAATGATTTCTCTCGCCATTTCGGCGGCGCGACGTGCGCGAGCGAGACAGGCGCTGCGGCGCATGCGGCCGGATCCTCCGCGAGAGACAGAGCGAGAAGGGGAAAAATCGGAGCGGCCGCGTAATAAAAGCGACCGGAGCGAACGTGAGGGTTATCGGATCCTCCGGGCTT